TGGCATTTATTAAGTCATGTCAACATGAATGTGGTGGAATAAGCGCTAGCATCGGGCACGATCCTCATCTTTTGTACACTCTTAGTGCTGTCCAGGTAAATACTTAAAAATTCTGTCTTGATACTGTATATTCTTTCCTGAGTTGGGAATTAAAATTGTATTAGAGGACAAATTTTGTTGATAACGTCTGTTCTGCAAGGTCAGTGATGTGATGGCATGTATTAGCTGAATGTGCAGTTGATGTGAATTCTCAAATTACCCTGAGACCTTGAAGAACAATTTTTATAAACTTTGATAAATGAGACTTTGAAAATAACCTATTTGGGCCCAGGAGATAGCTCAGCGGGTTAAGTGCCTGGCAAGCACAAGGACTGTTCAATCCCTGGTACCGCATGCTGTGCAGCCCCAAAACTGGACGTGGTGGCACACTCCTTTAATCCCAACACTGGGGAGGCCGAGACATGAGGATCGGAGTCCAGCATAGTGAGACCCTGTATCAAATAAATAAAATAACCAGCTTTTATTTTGACAGTGAATCGACAGGTGTGGTTTAAAGTCCAAGTACTTTGGCGGAACGGGGAATTGAACTCAGGCCCTTGTACTAGCCAGGGAAGCGCTTACTCTACTGAGCAATCTCCCCAGCCCCAAGTACTTTGGAATGCTGAGTTAGTTTATTTGTGGACAAATGCTTTACAGTTAAATTTTAGGAAATGTTAATGTTGATAAAATACAATTTTGTTGAATAACAGTATAGTCTGCAGATTTGAAAATAGTTTACAGTATCAGTAGACTAAGGTCTGCTTGAAGTTCAAGTCAGTATAGCAGAATAGAATTGAAAGATTATTTACTAAGTTACTTGTCTTTCCTATTACAGATTCTTACTCTGTATGATAGTATTAATGTTATTGACGTAAATAAAGTTGTGGAGTACGTTCAGAGTCTACAGAAAGAAGATGGATCCTTTGCTGGAGATATTTGGGGTAATGTCAGATTTAGTCCTTGCTACCCGGAATTCACTATTTAAATGTCCTGGCCTTGGTAGTGATCATTGATGAGGAGATTTAAGGTTTTCATCTTTTCAGGTCCCACTAAGCAGCTGGTCGAACTGGAATTAATGGCCCAGCATGCTCTGTGGTAGTTAATAGCAGCATACAGGAGCACTGGAACAGAGGGGGCCAATCTAAAACGGTAGGTGAAATATTTTCCCCAGCATTGGGTAGCTTTTTAAAGTTAAAAAAGATTAAAAATGCCAAAAGGAAAAACAAAAGATTGACAAAATTACTGAGTTTCAATGGAGGGAGTGGCTTGTATTTTATTTGGTAAATGTAGATAATCTCTGCTTTAGGGCTGAACACAGTGCAGGCCAGAGAGACCAGCTGCTTCATGGGATGTGAAAATCTACTTTTGTAACATAGGGTAAGTTTATCTGTATATTGTTAGAAATTGACTAATCTTTCACTTCTGTTTCTTTAACTTTCTGATACTCTAAAACAACTTGAAATTGTTAAATTATCTGCTGTTAGTTTTGACAGATTTCTGTTAGTTTCCTTAGAGGTAGAAGCATTTAATTTAAGATTGAGCTTCTGACCACTTAATGTAAATGTTAAGCCTGGATTCTGGATTCCTGGAAATTGAATGGTAGTTACATAGTTTATTTTTTAGGCAACTAGTACTGTTACTGATCAAAAACCTCTGGTAATATGTATGTGTTGTTACTTTTGTTTTAGGAGAAATTGACACAAGATTCTCCTTTTGTGCCGTGGCTACTTTGGCCCTTTTGGTAAGCTTTGATAACTATATCGAGAGACTGGGTGTGGTGGCGCACCCCTGTAATCCCAGTGCTGGGGAGCTGAAATCAGGATCACTATGAGTGCGAGCTGCCTAGTGAGACCCTGTTCCCAATACATAAATAAGATAAATAATAATGAAACTTCCCAGCATCCATGAATACTCTGGAATTCAGTACCCTTACCCCCTTCTATTTATAGGGGAAGCTCGATGCTATTAATGTGGAAAAGGCAATTGAATTTGTCTTATCCTGTATGAACTTTGATGGCGGATTTGGTTGCAGACCAGGTTCTGAATCTCATGCTGGGCAGGTAATCTATTAATACAGATTAAAATTTAATCTTTCTATAAAGATTACGATGTAAATTGGAGGGGTGTGTTTATAGTAAATTTTACTGTATGTGGGATAACACCTTAAAATTGTGTAATTACTATTTGTGGAAAGCATTTTCATAGTAGTTTATTCTGGGTAGGTATCTTATCCTGTTAGGTACCTGTGACCCAAACAAAAAGTAAGTTGATGGTTACCAAAATCCCTTTGGGGGAAGGCAGCTGAACCCAGGGTTCCCTACATCATGCTAGTCAAGCAGACTGACCGATGAGCTACATAGACTTGCTACTCTGCAAGCAGATCTTGGTGTCAGAGGACATTCTATAGGTAAATAGTTGTAAAGTATTAAGCTATGAAGAGATTCTGACAGTGTTTAAATACAAAATAGAGTTTTAATAAATAGTTGTTACCACCTTTCAAGAAATCATACACATGTACTTTATGTCTGTAATTTTAGATCTATTGTTGCACAGGATTCCTGGCTATTACTAGTCAGTTACATCAAGTAAATTCTGATTTACTTGGTTGGTGGCTTTGTGAGCGACAGTTA